AACACCTTGAATTGGACCCAGAAGCAAACCGGTACCCAATGCAGCTCATGGAGCAATGGTGCTATACGGGTCCTGGATCATTTTGGTTAATATGTTCACATATGTGTGGCCTCTCCCAACTACTTGGGATTACAGGCAGATACAAGAATAATCTGAACATTACCAAATGGATTTCACATTTGGCAGGAATGTGGCCTCTACTGGTTCTGCTCCAAGACCTTTTATCTGTCAACTATATTCTATATATTTAAGCATTGGAACAAAGAGATTCAGGTTTCTGAAGTATCTTTCACACCTTTTTCGTGACCAGGATATACAAGATCTGCTAAAAGTAATATCTGGAGAATGAAAATGTGGCCTTATTATAAAAAAGACTGAACTTTGACTGGGGGAGGGGGGATTAGAAGGGAGATGTGTTCCCTCTTCTCCTGACATACTTTTTGCTAGAATGCATAATCAAAGAAGTGCTTAACAATGGTCAGGGCTGGCATACATCCTACCCTCCAGTCCCTGGGCGCAGTGGGAGAACCTGGTTCTTTCAAGGTGGGCTCTGTCCCATACCTGCCAGGTGTTTAAACTGATCCCTAGCTCAGAGACCTACCAGAACAGTTGCTGACTAGTGGGGTCAGGAGGAGAGGGGATCAGGGGAGTCTGTCTCTCTGCTGCTTCAATCTCTCATATTTGTCAACATTACATTTAAATATTAATATGCATTATTAATATTTATGGGCCAGGGAAATGGTAGGTTGTTGGGATAGCCCTAAATAAATACTGAGAAATATTTTCCGCCAGGGGTTTATAATAAGATCCCTCTTGGTATTGCCTTACTCTTACAAGATACCCAGAGGTTGCCCCTGATGCAACCTTGCACCCAAACCTCCCACTTCCCCCTCGGCTGACAATTTATCTCTCAGCTGTTTTTTCACCTGTTTTTAAACACGGGGTTCATACTAAAAGCACTAAACTTGTGTTTAAAAGAAGCCTGAAAAACATTTAACAGGCACAGGGGAGGCAGCTCATATATGGTGCAGAGGGAAGGAATGATCACACTGCACTGATCAGCCACCTTCCTTGCTGTCAGCTAGGCTACTTTAAACATGGGTTCAGTGCTCCTCTCAAAGAGCCCTAAATCCATATTAAGTGGCCAGAATGCTTCTCTTTCAGAAGGATGCTAAATGTATGTTTAAAAGTAGCTCCCCAAATAGCCTACATGGAGGTGGGTATGGTGAAATGGAATCTCTCCTGTTTCTCCAAACTATCCCTAGAGCACCTGTTGGTTGTTTCTTGGGCTGGCTGACAGGGGCTGGCAGATGGACTCCTCAGTTCTCCTGGGACCCTGCTCAGTCCTGGCAACTTGCTGCCAAAGCTGATAGGGTGACAAGAGGGCCTGGGGGAGACTGCTCTGCCTCTGCCATCCAGAAGAGCAGCTGCAAGCCCTGTGCCTGATCTGTAGGCTGGGGAAGGGCCTCTCCTTCACTGGGCAACCCCCATTGCTCCTGCGGATCAGCTGCCTTGGTACCAGACTGTCTCAAAATCCATGGACATAGCCTTCTATCAAAATTTGCTGTCTTCTCCATCTCACATTAGGGGAGTGATTGGTGGTTGGTTTCCTTACTGGTGAGTAAATAATCTTTTCCTTTCACTTCCCCATCCTCTCCAGCTCCAGGGGGCAGCAGAAGGGGCATTTGAAGGGTTATGTATGTGTCTGAGAGGTTATCTAGTGAGAACTTTGCTATATGGAAGTGCCCTTTTTGGCTGACAGGTAGAAGAATCCTTTGTGAGTACAGTACAGAACCTCTTGGATTTAGTTACGTATTTCTGTCTTTTTTGCCAGCACTATTTGATCTATCCTAGCCACAATCATAAAGGAACCATAAATAAATAAGCAAGAACACCTTTGGGCCTTTTCCTTGACTAAAGTTCCTCTGACCTTTCCTGTGCTCAGAGGAAACAGCACAAAGCCCTAATGAAGAGATGAGAAAGGCTGGCTTTCCTTTTTGAATAACCCTACAGCCAACTTGTTATTTGAAATACATATTTTCATTTAATGACCACTTTCCTTACCTGCATTTATTTGGAAATTAAGGTAGAGAAGTTCCTGCTTTGTTTCCTGAATTCACAACTGAGCGGGGTGGGGGTGGGGATTTTGTTTAACATTCTGTGTATAATATTTTTCTTTTATATTCTTCCCCCTTTTCAATAATGCCTAGCTGCTTTCCCTGTGCTTCCTTTGATAAGGGCAATGCAATTTCCTGGGTCTCTCTTCAGCTGTCAGATAAATTCTATGTCAACAGGAGAAAAAACATTCTTTGGAGAAGGTCAGTGCCCACTGGCTACAGACTAATAAAGAAAAAGAAGGGGAAAAACGCTAACCTGTAAAGCATCCCTCTTTCTCGTTTTATCAGCAAACAAAGCCCGCTGTAATTTCCTGGGTAGGTTTTATTGGCTTCTGAAGGAAATGAATCATCACTTGCAGGGTAGCCCAGCATTTTTCAGGGTAGCAACCATTCAGCAAGTGTGAATACATTTCCTACTTCTACCTATCTGCTCACTGTTTGGTTAAAGCACTCATTTTTCACAAAGGAACAGTAACCTGATGGAGAAATTCTAGGATTCCCAAACTTTTCCTTTCAACAGCAGATGCTAGATCTTATCACTAAGTCTTTCTGTCATTGATACTACCATGAGGATGAAGCGAGGGTGGTGTTCAGAATGTGGAAATTCACATATCATGAGTAGGTGTTTAAATTTGGTCCATAAAATTAACTAATGATATTTTGTCAGGTTACCATAATAATCTTTATTAAATTTGTGGGAAGAGCCAGTTGGGTGTAGTAGTTAAGGCACCAGGCTAGAAACCAGGAGACTGAATTCCAGTCCTGCCTTAGGCATGAGACCAGCTGGGTGACCTTGGGCCACTCACTCTCTCTTAGCCCTAGGAAGCAGGCAGTGGCAAACCACTTCTGAAAATATTACCAAGAAAAGTGGAGGGATTCATTCAGGCAGTTGCCAGGAGTCAACACTGAGACAAAGAAGAAAAGGAAATAAACTTATGATACTCTTAGCCCCCCCCCCCAAGCTCTGCATGTTCAATATATGTGGGGTGGAGAATGGGGGTGGGTCTTTCCCCACATAGTTGGGGGCTTCCATAGAAGAAAAAATGGGAACCATGTGCTAAGTTTTGTCAGATGAGGGCTGCTATAACTGATTAAATTAAATTAAAATTATCTTAAGTTTAAAAACAAATTAATTAATAATTAATAAACATTAACAATAAATACACATTATTTATTTTAATTATTATTAATACAATAAATGAATAAACCAGAATATGGAACAGACTTCATTCAGTACACACATATACAATTTTTGTTCACTGTAGATAAAGGACATTTCTTCAGAATTTTCTTCTGTAAATGTTGATGCTGGAATTCAAAGGTCTTTGAACATTCCAATATTTGTCACAGTTTAAAGTACCACAGAGAGAATAACACTCTGGAAACTATTGTAGGACACTTATCCTATAACAGTTGGTCTATTTTCTTCTTTGTAGTTTGCGGATTCATTCAACTTTAACCCTCATAAGTGGCTCCTGGTGAACTTTGATTGTTCTACTATGTGGTATGTAGGAAATGCAAGAATTATTAACAGTATTATCACATAACATTTCTCTCTAAGGGAATGTGATAGGGAGCAGACTTAATGGGAGCATATATGTGCCATTATAAGACAGGTTTTCCAGGAACTCTAGTTTATTATGCTGATCATACAGTATATGACCTCCTACTTGGTTCCTTATGCCAAGAGTGGTTCAACCGACTGTGGAACAAACTGCTTATCATCCTATGGAGACCAGGATCCCTGAGTTGTCTCTTCTCAAGAAGGAATTGGATGGATTCAGACTCAGTCTCATTAAAAGAGTAAGCCAGAGGGTCTGGTTCCCACATCATGATAAAGAAACCACAGAAAGAGCTTCCACAGTTTGTTGAGCTGCTTCCATTGGCATAAGAAGTCAAGAGAGCATGAGATAGTATGCATTTCACTCTGGCCCATTCACGATAAGCCAGAGGTTTCGCTAATTTTGGTGCCTTGTGCAGACAGAAACAAAATTCTTGGCGGAAAACCCCCCCCAACTATGTAGGTACAGATTCTATGTGATAACTTACTCTGTCACCAGAATGTGATAGAAATAATTAATAATAATAAATAATACCAGAAATTTGAGAGGAAAGCAATCAAAATACATTTGTTACAAAGTATTTGCTAGTTTAGGATATAATGCCATATTTAGGTTTGTTAAATTCAATGTTTGTCAAAGAAGGAACTTGTACATTTATGAGACTTAAACAGTGATTAATTAATTAATCCATGCTTAAAGTGCAGTCAGATCTTTTTATTTCATAGAATTGTAGACTTCAAAACAATCCTAGAAGTTATCTAATGCAACACTAATTAATTAATGAACTCTAAATTAACTACTCAGAGATTAAATTTTAATCTCCCATTAAAACTTCTCCATTGATTAATCTGAACTGATTTAAATTTATATCTCTACTACTAGTCATCATGGAAATAGGTCAATTCTTAAGTAAAGCAGTGACCATATATTCAATATCTGTGCAGGGTGAAGAAGAGATCGGATTTAACATGTGCCTTTAAAATAGATCCTGTTTACTTGAAGCATGATCATGATGAATCTGGTAAAGTGCCATTAAATAATAATTTCCTTGATGATAATAATCTTGGTCCAGTTTCTGCATAATGGGGACATAGACAATGAGAGTTAATATGATTCATAGTATTTTCCTTACTGTTTCTGCTTTATTTCTCTGACTTGAATATTGAGATTTAGTGCACTTTACTGAATTCTGTCACTGAATTTTGAAGTTTGCAGTCATAATCTCCTCCTTGAATAATCAAAGGAATGGACAATAAGTAATGTATGGTCAAAATATTTGAAAAGCATGCTAGACTATGGTGGCTTCCACCAAATGGTTCCTTAGACTCTGCTTATCTGCAGTGATATAGAAGCAGGATTAAAATGGAGGATCTATGCTCAAGTAACTACTGAGTCTAAAGCACAGCCTCACAAATGTCTGTTCACCTTTTTCTAATATAGTTAATATGCTTGTTTTCTAGCTTTGATCTTTCTGAAAGATGCTTATCCAGCAGTTAGTAATAAATACAATAATGTGCCATATTTATATGATGTTAGTGTAAAGGGTATCAAAATGGAATGTTTCCAAGTATTCAAGAACTTTGAACAGAACTGTTCCAAATTCTTCATTCGATCTAGGAGTCATGGGAGTATCCTTAGTGTAAGGATTTGAAGAAGTCAAGATATCTTTTTTTTTCATTTGTTTTTTATATTACCTCTCTTTTCTAGAAACTTGCAAAATTGCACACAGTAACTCTGGTATAGCATTTTCCAACCTAGGGCTCCCTTGATGAATTAGATTATCTCTTCCCTAAGTCCTCACCAGTATGACTAGTTTAGGGAAAGTTATGTAAGTACACAGGAGTTGTCTCTCTTTTCACATGGTTAAGCCTTACAGAAATCTCATCCCCAACTGAATTTGAGTTTTATGATATGCAGCAGCATTTGCTCAGATTTATTTTGGGATCCTTTCTGTAGCCCATGGTGGCTTTTGGCATCCCTCCCTTCTGTCATTCAAATTTACACTGCAAATTCCTCTGGGCAGGCCTGCTTTGTGTATATAGAGGGCCACCTATATCACAAGATGATGCTATAAAATGCATCCAAGAACAGCAAAACAGATAGATCTAACATAATAAGGCATCTCTTAATATTTTATGCCTGCCCAATCCTACAAAGCTATCTTTTTTTCTTAGCTCAAACTCTCAACTTACTTTAGGGAAATGGATAACATTTAACTAATCCTCATCTTTTGAGTAAGTTTTCTTGAAATGGGAAAGAGAAATGCATACAGATATGATGAACTTCCAGTTTTGTGCTTTCTTTAGCAAAGCTGACATCCTGCAAGTCATTCTTCAGTTGTTCTACCATCAGAATGTAAAGTGTAGTGTGTCTTTGAAAGGCCATCTGTTCATGCTATGTAGTTTCACAATGTCCAAGCAGTTAATTTTGTTCAAGAAACAGAAAAAAAAAATACTCCTTATTTTACCTGATTCTATTATTTTGTGTTAATTTATACTCTAACATTCAAGACTCTATTTACTACCTAGCCACTAGCATATGGCTGTTAGCATCAGAAAGATACTCTTTTATACTCTAAATAAATACCACATATGCAGCTTTAATTAAGTTCATCCGGACTACAGAGAGATAAGATTGAAGTTTATAATTAGAGTGACAAGGACTAATAGTAGATTGCATTATGCTGTTCAGCTTCTTTTCAAGAGGTTACTAGTGTATCATTAGCCACATGGTCTGTTATAGCAACATGCAATTAGTTATCCATCACCAATTGCCTCCAGCTTTGCTCCCGCCCTGCAACTATTAAATCAACACTTCTAGTAAGATGGAATAGTAGGCTTTTCAGCTGCTTATCTGGGGTTCTGGTTCAGTTCCTTCTGAAATCTACTTGGTTCATTGAGATGAGATATCTGTAATTCCAATTCTGTACAGCTTTATGTATGATAATATTCTGAGGAAATTGGTTTTTTTATAAATGCATAAATGGGAATATTAACTGCACACTAATTTGCTGATTATGAATCTTGATATTAGTTGGCAAATATATGTTCCAATCACACATTTGCTGTATTAATGGGAATAAAGAGCCTGGCAAATACAGTTTGGGAAATGGGTGGGACAGAGAGAATTCTGTGCAGTCCTTGGTGCTCTCTGAGCTTTGCTGTTTGATTGCAAACGTTTCATTACCCAGTTACCAGTGTTGGTGGGGTGTGGTTTTCTCATTATTATTATTCCCTATCCTACCATTGATTCTTACTAGGAAAAATGTGTCTCTCCTTCATTGGACTGGGTACCACTGTTTTTAAACAGTCATTTGGAACTGGAAGTGCAATAGGGTACCCTTTGGGGCTTTTAAAGAAAAGCAAAAATATTTTTGGGTAATTGTGCACTGTAAATGATATAGATTCACTGGACATGAATTCATTTTCCTTTGTGTTATGTACTTTGGTTTGTGACAAAGCAGTGCCAATAGATGAAAAAGAGAATATATTTGAAAACAGCTTGGATAAGATTGAGTGTACGGTTTCCGTACCTGGGAAATTTTAGAATTTTATATTGACTTTTGATATACTATTCATTTGTTTTTCAGATGAGAGGTCTGGTTGAATAGCTAGCTTATAGTACTATTTTGGTAGTTAGAATAGCTGGAAGTCAATCTGAGATAGCTTAAGAAAAATGAACAGGGAAGTTCTCATACACATACTGTATGAGGTTAGTTCACTGGATTATATCTAGTAGTACAGTATCCATCTACCAGCAAAATGGCATCCAATAATAAGTTGTTTTCCCATCCTTCCCCATATCCCCATAGATGGTTTAAAGGGTTGAAGGTCTGCAAATTAACAGATTTCATAGGATGATCTGTTACTGACTGTACACCTGAGAAACACAACCACAACCTATTTGCTCCAGTATTTTTGAGTCTATGGGAAGCAATACCGCATGTGATTGCAATAGGCCGAAAGACACAGCAATAGAGCTGTCTTTCTCTTGAGTGAGGGATCATATGAGTTCTCCAACAAATATGATGCTGGAGTTGGTTCTCTTAACTATAAAATTAGGATTAGAGGCTTATATTAAACAAAATAAAGTCTATAATTTGATAATTCCTTAATCTTTCTTGATAAAATATATAGATGTTGTTGCTACTTTGGATATGCATAGTCTCAGTTGCAGTGGAAGGAAATTCTCTTAAATATTATTGACAAAAGTTTCAACCATGCAGGAAATCTGGCATGGGATCATTTACTTGTGTATAGTATTTGTGGATTTTCTATGCATGTATTTCTGTGTATGTAAGCGCATTGAGAAATCCACAGTCTGATTTGCACTTTCTACCAAACACATACTCAGTAGAATTAAAGCAATATTATGCAGGGCACATGCAACTGTGCTTTGTTTCCATCATAGAAAGTCAGGTGTGTTTGCTATATAAAGTTTTTTGAACAGATAGATTAGGCTGCCTGAAGTATCATAAAGCAGAGTAATAAATTCATACTTATATATTATTGTACTGTTTCTCTTTTACTCACCCCCAACCCTTTACAGGATGCATTACAGATTACAGGGTAAGTACTCTTTCCCCATAAGAAGAATAATTTGCATGTTCTATAATTGTCAAGGAAAAACCAAAAGGCTGGATGCAATTACAGCTTTGCTCTTCAGGGATTGAGAAGAAGGGAGAAATGTGCCTGAGAGGGGAGCACAGTTGAGGAAGAATACATCTCTGAATCCTGTCTGTGGCACAGCACCTTGCTCTATGTCCTGCAAAATTTGGACTCCGGCGTAGCATTTGCTCTATCAGATATTTGATTCTTACTTATTCTTCTAATTTGGGTTATTTAGAAGTCTGACAGTGTTTAATTCATTTCTCCTTTTGTTGAAGATTCTGTTCTGAATGAAAAGTAATTGTTTGTGTTTTATCTCCAGCACTGGCAGATTCCTTTAGGTAGAAGATTCCGTTCCTTGAAAATGTGGTTTGTGTTCCGAATGTATGGTGTGAATGGATTACAAGAATACATCCGCAAGGTGAACATATTTTATTTTACTCCTAAATGCTCAGAAAGGAATGAGACAGGAAGAAAAATGTGTTTAGTTCACACATGATCTAAAATTAATTTAATACAGGCTCAAAATATAATATGTGCATCAAAACCAGTTATATTTTGATGTTTGTAGTTTCTGAATTTTGAGATGCAGTTTTCCAGAGATGCATCTAAAGATACACATTTCTGCGGAAAAACATGCACTATGTTCATGAATACAGCATACCAATGCGTTAAAATATATTACCTATAAATACATTATATATATATTCATTGATAAAGGTATGTTCAGCTTTAGCAAGGTTGCTTTATCAAAGTTGTTAACCATCCAAAGTCATAAACCGGCTGCAACAGTAACAGGTGAAGGCAGAAAACTAGTGTCTTAAATAAGCAAACTTTTATTGTGGGCACTGAGAAGTCAGATAGCAAGGCAGAAAGGATTTCTCGGGTCCAGATGAAGGATCCAGGTTTCCAAGGAGATACACCACAATACCGACAAGGCTAGTCTGTCATGGAAGTTGTTCCAGCATCACACTGTAGTCAGATAGAACTTTAAATGCTGGAAGGCAAGCTGGTGTCAGTCAGTCTGAAACGCAGAAAGGGGCTATGCGACAGGGAGTGCGACATACTTCCATGTAGACAGTCCTGCCCAAAGACCTCACCATACAATCACCGTGCAAGTCTCTTTTCCAGCTCACGGAGACGGGGTTCATGCAAGCTGGGCAATCAATGCTGTAGTTCAGGGATGGAACTAGGGGCAGATCTGTTTGCTGGTTCTGCTGGTTTCTCTTCTGCCTCATCAGTTGATGATTTATATGCCAGAAACAGGACAACATTGTTGAAATATAGTTTACTCACCTAAGAGTTATAGGACGATTGGTTACACTTTCAGTGAAACAAGTTTGCATTTTGTAACCAATGGAGCTATAATAAAGCCACTAAACCTGGGCTGCAAAAATCCATCTTCCTGCTATATATAAAGTGCTGTATTTTTTTTTTTAAGATAGGAAAAATAAAGATCTGCCTTTCTGTAATTCTCTGACACTATGCCTGTCGCGTATGATTTCTCGAAGACATAGAAAGGGACTTTTCGGGTCTTGCTTTGGAAAATTAAACACAGTTAAAAGTTACCTTGGGTTGCTACTCCTTCCTTTTGTCAGTTGTTCTGCTTAGATCAATTTTAACGCAGTTCCCTTTTGGGGAAAGGATGAAGCAAAATTGGCACTGAAACTCCCTGCCCTCTCCCTGTCATGTTAGCAGCCCATCTTCTTTTTCTTGCATAATTCCCACCCCTTCCTTTTTTCCCTTCTTTTACTATTGGAATGCACAAACAGCTCTTTCAGTTGTGCTTAGCTTTCTTTCCTTTGGTCTAATTTTCTCCCTGAAGATATTCCCTACTTTTGGTAGACTTCCTTAGGGATAAGCCCTTGCTCCATTTTCTACACATGTCCTTTTTATCTTTTTGATCAGTTAAAAGCTCCCTGGGCATTTCACAAATTTCCTAAACTGCCCCCCCCCCTTTTCTTCATTGGAGTGGTGTGCAAATATATTTCTAATATATTTTTTTCAGAAGTTCCCAAACCTTCTAAAGTTCATATCCATCCAATATTTATGTAGTCTTTATACATGATTATAAAAGAATAATTGTTTTAAAGCAGCAGCCATATGCATGTACTTGTTTACTGACCTTTCTGTATACTGTATATGAACAGCATATCTTCCTATACCTATAGAAGATCTTCAGTTTCCATTCCTTGTAGCAATGGAAATCTCCAAAGCTTTGGCGCCCCCCTCTGGCTTTATTAAATACTGCTCATTATAATTATAAATGATTATAATAGATTTTTTAAAAACTTTGTTCTTTCAGATAAAACAACAAAAAGCATTGTTCTTTCAGATAAAACAGCTACAAGAATGCAAGAAAATTTCATCTAATTTCTACTTGTTGTTTTAAAGCTATTAAACAATCATACGTACAGAAATACTGTATTTATTTAAAAGGAAAACAATTCTCAATTTAAAATTATGAGATCAGACAGTAAAAAAATTATAAAATTGTATAAAATATGTATTTTGTACAAATTGATATATGTGCACATTAGCCAAAAAAAAAAAAGGAAAGGATAAGGGCAAAAAATAAAAAATAGTAGTTTTTATTAAAATTAATTTGATATATGTGCACATTAGCCAAAAAAAAAAAAGGAAAGGATAAGGGCAAAAAATAAAAAATAGTAGTTTTTATTAAAATTAATTAAAATAAAATAAAATAAAATAAAATAAAATAAAATAAAATAAAATAAAATAAGCTCTGTGCATTACCTAGATGTCCACTTTGTTGTTCTACTATGCTAATCTCAGCTGAAACCAGTTCTGGAGATTTTTCTCTCCCAACAGTTTTGTGTCTGATATATGTGCACATTAGCCAAAAAAAAAAAAAGGATAGGATCAGGGCAAAAAATAAAAAATAGTAGTTTTTATTAAAATTAATTGATTGTAAAATAAGGCTTTCCAGTTGCAAAATTAACTGATTCCCATCTGTATATATGCCAGAAGTAATTCTTTCTCACACAGGTACAATATCCTTCTTTTTTCTAGCAGAAAAAAGGGGGGGAAAATCTACCAGAACTGAGCTTCACGATTTTACCCAGCAGTAACAATCCTGTTATATAAAGTACATTTTATTGTTCTATTAGATAATTTATTCTATGCCTTACAGTACTTTCCTTAATATTCTTTTTTTTAGGATACTTCCATTATTATTTTATTATAATCTAATTATCTGGGGAAATGGCAAGAAAATTTCTGAACTATCATTTGGATTGGTATTTAGTTCTTATCATATTCCGTTGAAGTCATCCGCCTCTGTAAAATGAGGTCCCCTCTACCCCTCTACTGGTCCCAGTATCAGCATGGCTTCTGTCCATGTGATTCTTTTAAAACTAAGTTTAGCCTATCATGCAAGCAGTGTACTTCATAAAATTTTGAGTGTTTCCATCTGGTCTAAAATGCTTGTTGTTAGGAGAATCACATGGGGAGAAATATTGAAACAAATCCAACAAGCATGCTAACTATGGGAAGTTGTCTAAGAAAAGGGGCAGGTCTGGCTTGTAGAATGTTTCCTCCCTAACCTCTTTCCCCTATCATTGGTGATGGTCCCATTGCAGTTCATCTACACCTCATCATTCCACCCTGAGCCAAAGTAGCCAATATGTCCCACATTCCTGCAGGAGGACTAGCTCTGCTTTGCCCACAGCGTGTCCTTCCCCCATAAGGAAAAGATGACAGGATCACTAGGAGTCAGTCAAAGAAAGTGAGGAGTAATTTTTGCCAGTGTCTTTGGTAGATGTCTTCTCTGATATGGGAAGGCTGCTTCCCCAGTTGTGGAAGATGTATGATGCTTTCTAGATCCTTTTAGTTTGTTCAGCTTAGATTACTGATGGGGAAAGGTGCTACTCAGACTATTCTATGGAAGGCAAAGGGAGAGTGGGTGTGTGATTTTATTTGTGATGGGTAGTGAAGGCTGGGTGAGTAATATCCAAAGGAGTATGCTTTTGACATTTGAGAAATAGGTGACATCAGAAAGCAAGTTTTAATTACATTAAACAGTGACATCACATAGCCTGCCAAGGGAGGCGTGCATTTAGATCTGACCTCTGGATCAACTGAAGGCTAGCTCCTTTTCTGGCAGCATTTTTGGAGCACTGACTTCCTCCTAGGGCTGAGAAAGAGTGTCTGGCCTAAAATCACACAACTGGCATAAAGCAGGACTAGAATTCAGGTTCTCCCACTCCTAATCCAGTGCTTTAGCTACTAGACCAAACTAGCTCTCATGCAGAGTAATAGAAGAGCAATAATGATGAACATGTTTCCTTGCAGCACTGATCTGCTATGCCTAGGCTTCCAGAAACATAACGTGAGGATACTCAAGGGAATGAGTCACCTTGCTGGATGACAGCTCACTGACACAATCAGATGGAAAAGTACTGGCATTTTGCCACCCTTATTGCCACAGTGGACACCCAGACATAGGCTCTTACTCATGTTTGGTCAGATTCACCATTGATCTTCTTCCAATGGTACTCCAGATATCCCTTCTGTTGCCTCGTCTCTCAGAGCCCCTCAGTAGACCATGATGCCCCTCAGGAAGTTGTCCCAAGCAATTTGTAGTCTACTGATTTCAGCAGCCAGTTAGGTGCTTGATGGAACTGCCAGATAGGGCAGTTTGAATATAGCCATTTATATAAAAGATATAAGCTAATCATTATTGGTGGATAGGCTTCTGCAGATTTTTGTGTTGATGAGATTTTGTTAAACTACCAATGTGGAGAAAGAATAGTTTAACTTGTAAATAGTGTTGCCCAGTCATTCCTAGGGAATAAGGGATCATCCACACAGCAGTGTCAATGTGCTTTCCTCCTGTCCTTGAAATGATAGGAAAGTACATTGCTATAAAATGCACTGCCCCTACAGGCTACCCTTAACATGACTTGGCAATGAGGCTGAGCAGTGTTGCTGCCAGTACACATCCAATCTCTTTGGCAGTCACCGTAGAAATGTGCTCAGCCAGATGGGAGGGAGCAGTCCTGCAGTAACCAGATGGAGCTCAGCAAGTTGCCAACCCCTGAAGACTCCTCTTCGATCCAGCCTGGAATTTCCCTATGGGAGGTTTTCTTCCATTTTCCCAGGAAAATACTATTTTCCAACTGGAATAATTTGGGCCAGTTTCAGCTTGCTTAGCCCCAGGTTAGCAAAGAGATGGAAGCTTTGTTGTGAGCATGGACTCCCAGTAAATAGTAAGTGGGTCATCCTCAAGCTGAGGCAAGACAGATGAGCCCTAAGATTATTGCCTCTGAACAATGATCCAGTCATATTGCCTTATCAATGATACTGGTAGAACATAATCAACACTAATTCAAGAGCCACCATTTTGGAGAACCCAAGATTTCCATCTACTGCCTGCTGTCCTGTGAACCTTTGCAGTGGCAGATTACCGGCAAAGCAGTCATTTATTACATCACTGGTTGCTTTCCTACCGGCCAGGCAGGAAGCATCAGGTGGGACATGAGCGCTACAGGCAATCAGCCCTTGAGAAGGTGTGCTGAACTGCATGTTCTGATAGTGAATTACAGTGGAGGAGCTTGCTTTGATAGCGCCTTTATAATGCCAGTTCTTTTCTGATAGGACTGACTGAGTGCAGTTTGGAAACTGTCCCATGACTGATGATGTCTTGATGTTCATATGACACAACTGACTGGGGAAAGATAGTTTAACTCAAAACAGTCCAAGGGTATTTTGGGTTAAAGTTATAACATGCCCACTGTTGTGAGGGCTTTGGGGTTTATAAAACATGCTAACCCCAGTCTTGATCCAGTTAAATGTGCTTGCATACTCTGTTATAAAGTATGCATATATTGCAAATAACATGCTTCATTTTTTATGTCAGGTTGTGATTTCCCATAAAATGGGAATCAATAATATAGCCAGATGTTTAAAAATTAAGATGAGCTTCAGAAATTGGTAGATTTATTTGCAAGCTTGGGATTGTATAATATTGCTTTAATTATTTGTTAGATGTTGATTAGAAATAAATATACCCTCTAGTGCACAATGGATAGAAGAGTAGATGGTGAGGACGTTCTTTCCAATTGTGGAATTCTTGTTTATGTTTTGGATGAATGCTGATTTCATAAGTTCTCTTTATTGTTTTAGCATGTTAGGATAGCACATGAATTTAAGGACCTAGTGCTTCAGGATGATCGATTTGAAATTTGTGCTGATGTCATACTGGGGCTGGTGTGCTTCCGATTAAAGGTAAATGTGGACAAATTTCCAATTCCTATAACCTTTGCTTTAACACCATGCTTGTACAATAATTTGTGGGGAAATCAGAGTACCTTACTGAAAACTAAAGCTAAAGCAGACATTTAGTTTTAAAGAGTTTCTATTGTCAGGTCTGTATTTTGATTTATAGGAGGAATGTAACATACATGCAGTTTAATGAATCAACTTTTATATTTAATCACCAATTGAATATTTGGATTTTCTCAGACCTCTATGAAATATTTCTTATCTTACATTTCTAAAAGCTTAGTTTACACTTTAGAGATAATTTTACCAGCCTTTATGACATTCTTTTTGCTTTTTCTTGAAATACCTTAAATATGCTTGGTGATCAGAGCTCTCCTTGTTGGTTGATGCCAACTCTTAACTACGAACAACCGCAGCATCTGCTTTAGATGAGTGAAATTGTTACCAGTGATCAGTAAGGCTTTTCTATATTTCCAGCAGTGATTGAGTTTGCTAGTTTTAATAGAATGCTTCCAGTACTCTTAAGGAAATAATCAGCTTTCTTAATACTGATCATGACAAGGAAGACCAAAAAATAACCCTTAAACACATTGACCCTTAACCACATTTTTTTTTACATTTCGAGAGATAATAGTGTGTGATCATTAGCTTATCGCTTGAGTAGATGCCTAAAGTGACACGCTAAGATTTTATATGATTAAACAGGTGAATACAGTTTATAAAAAGCAAAGAAAATTAAGGAAATTAACCTTTTGGCTGCCCCTCATTACCAAGCAAAGCAGCCATTTTTTTCTTTCTGGCATGCTTCATGTCCTTTTATACAATTTTCTACCAAATTCTAGGCAATGGATATACATACAATATGACCTATGTTATAAAATAACAATTTTAAAAATCCTTCCCTGTGCAAGAAAATATTTTGATGGTAAAGGTGAAATTATATTTTCCAAAGAATATAGATCTGCCAGTGAAAACAGTCCCATGTTGATTTTCCTTTTCCACAGTTTCTAGCACATCACGTCCAGTGTCCTGACGCCCACTGTGCTGTGCATCTCTCTGTATCTTCATTTGCTACTGATGGGGTTAGGGAGATGGACAGCGTATTAACTACTGGACCCTGTGAATATGGGAGAAGAAGGGGAGGACTTGAAGGCAGCTCCATGGTCTTTGCAATATGTTCCATTCTAACAGGCTCCCCACACAAGATGCATTCAGTCTGCTGTGACTGTAGGAAAGCTGTACTACTACAGGGTAAACCTTGTATTTCTAGCAAACAATATGTTTCAAAAGACATTGAGCCTTTCTCTGATAGAACACCTAGCCTTTAGATGGACCACTAATTGATGCAGTCTGACTTTTACCTTACTATTAGAAAAGCTTCTTTGCACCACATTTAGAGCAGTGACTAACAGCTATCACTGGACCCAGGAAAAACCTAGAACAAACACTTAGCATGAAGAAGGTGCTCAAATTTATAAATTGGCAAAAATGACTAAAAATGTTTTCTGACAAACTGCCCATGCTGTTAGCCTAAGATTGTGAATTCAAAGGAAATGAAGTTGCAATTGAATTTGGATGTCTGTATCTCTGCTATGATTATGAGATGAATACCAGTTCAATAGGCAGGGGCATTTATCAGTCCACCCTCAGCCACAGAAGCTCACTGGGATGACTTCACAGCAATCACTTTCTCTCACCAAACTTATCTCCCAGGATTGTTGTTTTGGGAAAAAATAGGTCTTATATGACACTTAGGTATAAATGCATACCAAATTAAAATACTATGCTAAATATAATCCTTGTCTTTTATTTGCAGGTCTCTCCTCCACTGCACCTAAACTTGTGTACATTTTAAACTGACCCCCCCCAACCATACATTTTTAACTTCCTCCCGAAAAAGCAGCTTGCAAGAACTTTGTTTCTCTCCCCTCATCCCTCTGTTTTTCTCCATCCCTCAGCCTAGACCCATTGTTCCCATTATAAAACACAATGCAAACCATTCTATCTATGGGAAATCTCCAGATATTTGAAAAAGGTCAGAATGAGGCAATTTCTAAAGGAAAAATCTGAAGTTTCTGCAATAGGAAAAGATATGGCATAATGTTGGAGTCAACAGGACAACCAGAAAATTTTAAGTACATTGGGCGTTCCATTAATGGAGTAATAAAATTGTCCAAAGAACTGCTAAGAAACTAGCAGAATCAGAGAGAATAAAATTTGTAGGAAGCATGAGCAGAACTATCCGTGACATCATTTAAATACCTCTTTTCCCCAGAAGCCCATGGCAGTGTACAGTTTGCTCCCTCCTGATATAGGACTTGTTCCTCGTTGTTATCCTATTCCTGTAATATACAGAGCACATATCTTATAGGACACATGCCCAAAGAAAAAATCTTGCAGATAACTTTGGCAGACTAGATACATAATACATATTTCCTGATGATGGAAAAACTGCAAACCATTCATTTAGATCAGTGTTTCCCATCCTCAGCAACTTTAAGATGCCTGCTCTAGTACCTCCAGCACATGTGAAGGGCACCATGTTGGGGAAAGGTGCCCGACGGCAGTTTTTTCAAACTCTGTCCCGCAGAATCCTAAGGTTCCATCAGACCTTGACGGGTTTCATGAGAGACGAAACAAAAGGTTCACTTAAGTGCAGCTATTTTTCTATCACTAAAGCTTTGCCTCTTGATCAGGGGTTCCAGGAATATATTTTTTTTAACTAACAGGTTCTGTGACCTGAAAAGGTTTCAAAGCCCTGCCCTAAAGAACTGATTGAATGGTTGATTGATATTGGAAGTTGAAGCCTCTTCTCTGTGTCTGAGTGTTTCTGGAAGTGGGAATCTGATCTGAGTGAAGATTTGTAAAGCAGGTTTTGTAACAGAGAGATGATGTATTTACAGGAAATATACTACAGGAACCGCAAAGCCTAGCAGTTAGTGACCTAATGCCAAGAGCTTGTGTTCTGTGCCTACGTGCTTGGGAAGAAAAGCTGAAGGAAGTGCCATCAGATCAGCAATCTCTAAAACAGGCAGGCTGACAAAGAAGGGAAACAAATCCTTAACCGTCTACACCCTACTGCCCCCTTGTGGCCAGTGGGTTATGAGCCCTCGGATTCGCACTTCCAACAATTTATTTGGATATGCTTATAGAAACGTTTTATATTGAAGCATCTTGAAGTAGTTGACAATAAAAAGCAGCAATAAAGTACAAATAAATCAATGCATTAAAACAACGTGAATCTATATTCAGTAAAACCTGTTCATTAAAAAGTAGGGGTGGGGAAAGAGAGGGGAAACAAAAAACTTCCAACAATCATAACTGGTAATTTCTGGGTGAAGAGGTGAGTTTTCAACATAGCTAAAAAGATGTTATAGTAGATAATATTTATATATAGTATAGCATTTATATTATAGGTGATCATTCCAGAGTGTGGGCACCATTACAGAAAATGCCCATCTAGAAACACTTGCCTGATGGCATTCAGCAGCTGTCAGTACATATTGCAGGACTTCTGATGTTCCCAATAACCAACCAGATCTATAATGGTGAAGATGATCTGACAGATATCCTGGTTCCAAGTTACTAAGGCCTTCTGTGTCATACCTCAGACCTTGAATCCAGCTCAGTAGTTAATTGACAGCCATTGCAGTTGCTTCACCAAAGGTGTAACCTTTATGATCAGGTGCCCTGCTTAGCTAAACTGGTCATTACATTCTGCCCAGCTGCTGCTGCTGGACCAAGTACAAGGTAGCCCTACAACTAAACCTGAGGGAACTAGTGCATGAACAATTACAGCTAGGCTGTCCTTCTCCAGAAAAGAGTATAGTTGGTATACCAGCTGAGGCTAGCAGTTGACACTCCTAGCCACGGATATCTTTTGACTTCCATTGACAACAATTAGTTTAGGAGCATTCCAAACTATGTCCATGTTCTTTCTGAGTGATTATTATCCTCTATAGAACAGGTAAATCTCCCAGTGCTGAACTCTGGAACTGCTCATCCAGAAAGGCTCCATCTTATTGGGTTTCAGTCTTAGCTTATTGGCTGTCATTCACTCCATCACTGCATTTAGACACTGGTTCAGGATGTGTTCAGCTTCTCCTGATTCAGTTGTTATGGAGAAGTAAAGTTGAGTGCCATCTTTATATTGGTTGACAAAAAGCCTGACAAATTCCCCAGTGAATTCATATAGATGATAAATAGTACTGGAGACAGAATAGTGCCCTGTGGCGCCCTACAACATAGTATTTTTAAGAGTATCCCTGCGATAGGAGTAACCCATTGTAACATGTTGTCCCAACCACAACCTCATAGAGGATCATCCAGGAGGTGGCGTTGGTCAAGCAGGTTCAAAAGAGCTGCACTCCCTGTGTCTCCCTTTTTCAGGGTATCGGGGCGACTATGGCTGGTTCTATTCCAAAATCAGGCTTAACTCAGATTGAAAAAGGTTGAGATAATTAGTGTTCTCCAAGAATGTCTGTGCAGATGTTACCCTTGGTCAAGCATTTTGCCCCAAGAAGGGGTATCTGTGACTGGGCAGTAGTTAGGAAAGTTTTCTGGATCTAGGGAATTTTTTCAGGAGTGGGTGAATTTAATGGTACTTCTCCATCCTGCAAAAATGCTTTCAACCCTCTCTGGATCAACCAGTCAACCCCACTGGTTAGCTCAAATGAACTAAATGGGCAAGGGTCAAGAAACCATGTAGAAGGCTGGATGGTTACAAGTCCACATCCTTATCCTTGGGCCTCATGGGTTGAAATGAGCTAGACCCGATGGTATACTAAATATCTCAATATATATTGCATGAAAAGTAGTGTTAGTCAACATAAATATGAGCAATGTTATCTTTGCCTCACAGATCTATCACAACAGGTCCATGAGGGTTCCAATGTGTCTCTGACAGAGCTGCAGGAATGACATGTGTCATAGGAATAACTATTATTGCATATTTTATCATTATTCTAGGGCAGTAATGAACTTAATGAAGTGCTTCTTAAAAACATAAATGATGCCAGGAAGATTCATCTTGTTCCATGTCACCTGAGAGGAACATTTGTACTTCGTTTTGCAATTTGTGCCCGCACAGTGGAGTCTTCCCATATCCAGTTTGCCTGGAAGCATATCACAACAATGGCAAGTGAACTTCTGAAAGCACAAAAACAGTCAGAGTAATGGCTAAAGGCTGGAATCAACTCTAAATTTAAAGGATAATATGTGTTCTGTCTTGTCTGATACTTGCAAAACTACCAGGAACATACAGTGCTGTAATCAGATTGAGTTTATAGGTAAGAGGTGGTCTTCATTTAACGACCACTCATTCAGTGATCGTTCCAACTTATGAAGGTGCTGAACAAGTGGTAGTTACGGCCAGTCCTCATACTTACAGTTGTCATAGCATCCCATGGTCATGTGATTGCCATTTGCAACCTTCTTTGCCAACTTTCTACAAGCAAATTCAGTGGGGAAGCCGGCAGGAGGTTGCAAATGGCCACCATGTGATGTCCTCACTTAACGATCTGTGGTGATTTGCTTAATAATGGGAACCTCCAATGGCAATGCTGGAGGTGCTGCTGCTAAGCGGTGTGGTTACGTGACATTGAGCTTTATGACTGCATCGCTTAACAACAGAAATTCCAGTCCCAATTACTGTTGTTAAGTGAGGACTACCTGTAATGGCCCTTTCTCAATCAGACCATGAATCATTTAGTCCACTTTTTCCATTTTTGGTTTAAAAGAACAGCCAACCTGATGCCTTTGGGGGCTGCCAAAGCAGCCCTGACAATTATGACCTCCTCCTGTTTGGCTCCAGCATCTTCTATGTCATGGTTGTTGGCAGAACATAAACATGTGAATAAATCTGCCTCCAAGAATCTGTCTTTTAGGCCATGCAAATCAGTGATCATTACCATGCCTTGTGGCATTTGATACCAAAGCATGAAGATCAGCACTGTAGGGTAAAAGTTTGCTCAGCTAGAGGATTTTCTGTTGCCACTCATTGCAGTGCAGCAAATTAAAAAGTGACATTTGTGGGAAAGGGAGGCAATGCTACTGCTGCTTCTCAGATAAGCCATCCACCTCACCACTAACATTGTTTTGTGATTTTCATCCTATTCGACCTCCAAATATTTTCATTTTTTTCTTCCTTTCTGCCACTCCTCTTTTCTTTAAAAAAACAAAACAAAAACAAACTCATCCTGAGAAAAAACAAAAAAAAATCTGGGGTTTTATTGCTACCTCTTTTTAACTTCAATTATTTAAACAAGTAGACAGTAATTATTCCAGGACAATTTCTTGGATTAGATCCAACAAATGTGAATGACAGTTGGGGTCAAATTATATAATCTTGCCCAACCATACTTTGTCTTGTTGACATTATAGCTTTGCAAGTATTGGCAACCTATTGATGGCACACTTAAAAAAAAAAGAATGAGGAAAGTATTGACAGCTCAAGTCTAGCACCATGATTCTAACTGAATTACAGAACAGTAGCAAGTTAATGTTTCAGTGTAACTTTCATTGAAGTAATTGTGCCTTGCGTTATTCCCATTATGTGACAGATTCTGATTTAGATTCTTACTGTTATATAATCAAATGTACTAGAGTGTATCTTTTTCTGTATAAATGCTAATTTATACATTCCTTTTCTCTGTGAATGCTTGTTTAGTGCCTCCATGGTGTTTCCACTGAATGGGATCTTAGGACTTGCTTGATCCTCTAGAGCAATGGTGTCAAACTCAGACAGAATGTACAGGGCCACTAAACTGTACATAAGGATCCCTATGGGCCACATATTGATGTAAAAAACCACACATTTATTTATTGATTTATTTTATTAATACATCAACACAGTAAAATCAGATAGAAACTAAATATAACTAATACATAAAAAGAAATGTATTATTACAAATTTGACTATTTGTTTTCAATATTTATGTCTCTCTCTTTATAGAATAGAAATCTTTATTGTCATTGTACAGCTTGTAG